ATTATTATTATTATTATTATTATTATTATTATTATTATTATTATTATTATTATTAGAGTATTTACAATAAATTACATTGAACATTCACATAATATTGTTTTGTTACACGAATCGCATTCGATCTTATTTATTTTCTACGCGGCCTGTAAATACGTATAAGACCTAAATGGGGTACTGCAGCAACGATTATTTATTGTTACGAACTGCTATTGGGTTTCGGAAAACGTGCATAACAAGTTTCGCGCAAATACAATGTTTATTTTTATACCAATCGTCGATTATTGTTTGCATGAAATTCTTAATTGTTTGCTGTTGTTTTTTTCTCTACCTACGTCTAATTCAAATTTCGTAAAACATAATTGCATTCACATAATATTATAATACTTTGTGTGGTAAAAATGTACTCATACTTGAGCAATTTTATGGTATCGCATTTTACACACATGATAAGACACTGGCCTATTAAAAGGTATTATCGATTATTTTCTTTCGATAAGTCAGTAATTTTAAATTACGTATGAACAAAAACCGATTAAAGTGCGTACCCAATACATATGCATATATATATATATACAATATTACTAACCTGAACAATACTTAAAAAGTAAAATAGTTCATATATTTTTCAACACGATTGCAAGTGTACAATTTCATGTTATAACATACAATAAGAATATATACAGGCGTATACCGCGGTTAGTGGGATGGTAATTGACAATAACGTATTGAAGTGGTCGTAAGTAATACTATCAACAACTGTTTTCCCGAATTTGGAATAATCGGATATTTAATTTTGGGGAAAAGTTCTGTTAGTTATAAGTAAAAGCCAGAATTTCATTATTTTTAATATATATTTTTAATCATATGCAATCGGACGAGGGTTTAAAATTTCCAATAATCCTGAAATGTGGAAATTAAAAACAAACGTTTTTTTTTCTTTGTTGCATATTTGAAAATATTTTAAGATAAAAGAATATTTCTTATTCTATAAAAAATATCACTGAATATATCGATTGATCTTTTTGTTGCAGTGACGTAAATATAATAAATTATATAATAATAATAAATTATATTTACGATAGTTGTGGTGTTGAATTTTAAAAAAAATCGTAGTATAAGTTTTGAATAGAAATATTGAAGTACAAATTATAAATCATTTTCAAGCGGTTATGATAACTAATTAGCAGCATCCTTTTTATATCAGGATTTTTAAGTTAAAAGAATATTTTCAACATTTTAAAGTAATTTTATCATATTATTTAAGCTATTTTAAGAGAATATTATTTCGGATTCTAGTTATAATTTATAGAATTCAAATTATTTTATCTTCTTTTAATACTCCTTAAAACATTGAGTACGTTTACAGAAATTTCGAATAGTATAAACTTATATATTATATGTACCATACTTTTGTATCTTAGTTTTCTTCTCATAACCAAATGCCTTTCAAAAAGTTTTGATGAAATAATTAAATATCGATTGTGTTTTTATAGACAATATTATCCATTAGAAATGCATATGTGTCTACTTTTTCTTTTTGTTAATAAACATTACAACAATGTAGTAAAATTTCAATATTTATCTATTTATACAAAACCATATTTTAAGTAAGTGGTATGAATATAAATGTGTATTTTATAATTTTGTTAGTGCATTCTAATTTACGACTGCTGGGAATACAATAATTCAACAATATGGGCCACTGTAATGAGTTTTAGATTTTTAGATTAAATTTTTAGATTTTTTAAAACTTTACCAAAGCAAGATGTATGCTCATTTTTTACGAATAATACATTTTGGCATACGCAGTATTCTGTAGGCTCTATCGTACACAAGAAGTACTTTAAACATTTTATTTATCGATTTTTTTTTTAATGGTTTTTCTAAAATCATAAGAAATTTTTCTTATATCCTCGAAAGTATTATGTTTCGAGAAGTGAAACAACAAAGGACGCGCAAGCACTCAAACTCGGTATCAATCCAACTTTTATTTTTATTTTTTTAATCTAGTACTTATTGAACGATTGATCTTTTACGTTTTCTATAATACATAAATGTACTAATAACTAGGAAAAAAAGGAAGTTTCAATTGGAACAATAGCAAGGTTACGGAAAGTCGTAGAACTATGTAAAACTGCAATTTCGAATAACGCGTCAATATTTTCATCCAATTTAACCGACTACAAAAACGGGTGCGTTTAATACATTTAAATACGTACTATTTTACATACATATCTATTATCTGTTATCACTTATTCTACACCTGTATAGATTGTAATATTCTAAAATAAAATTATATAAATGTTAAAAAAAAAAAAAATCTATTATATGTACGTATTCAATATCACTGTTGAATGTATTTGTTTGATGTATTTTTTTTCGCACATATTACAACGATATTTTGGACGGATTACTCGGCGCGTGTTTAACAATCCGAAACACGTATAGAACGAACATAATATAAAATTAGGATTTATAATTCCATTCCTTCGGGTCGAACACATTTTCGAACCGCGTTCGTGTGCAGCTTGAACGCGGTACACGGGTGACTCGGATGGAAGCGCTGCCATGCGTACGGGACAATGCATCCGAGAGGAGAAATTCGATCGACCGATCGTTTCATTGGGTCGGCTGCGGCGGCCACGGTGTCCTTCACGGTCACACGAACTCAACGGTCCTGACACATTATTAATGCAATTACAAATATGACAATGGCAATTAAACATTTTCCCCGTGACCGAAATGATAATAGATTGTCACGCGGATCGTAATTAATCTCTGACCGTAATGAGTCCGGTTCGTACGTGACTCGTACACGCGCACGGTGTATTCGTACGATGTCGACGTGACGCGGTCGGGAGATTCGCTAAATACGTTTTTCGCCCATCGTCAAAAGCAAATGCATAGGTAACTACGATGAGATAAAAAAGAAAAAATAAAAAAAATTATGAAACCTACCGTGGATTCCTAATCCGTTTGCGTGCACTGAAACAGGATCGGGATTTACGATTATAAGTAATTTTAAGTCGGAAAGAAATGCAGTCCCGACCACGCTAAGTGTTGCGGTGCCGGTGGTGTCACCGCGAAGGCG